ATCATGGCGCAGTGCGGCCCGAGGAAGGGGGAAGGCATCGTCGCCGTGGCACGCGGCATTTTTGCGCTCTCTCAGTGAGGTAGTGTAAACTCCACATCCAGCATGTCACGTATGTCATGTAACTCGCCTCACCCTCAACCTCCTGAATTAGTTGCTCTCTCCTGGCTCACTGATTTCTTGCTCGCACTGAGAAGGGTGAACATGCCGCGCGGTGGTTGCGACTGCCACCTCTCCTCCACAAATCAGTGAACCACAGCGCCAAAATCATTTCACGTCTCGTTCTTTTGAAGGACCTGCAAGCTTTGATCCTCATGTTTTGATATTGTGAAGCGTCTTCTTGTTCTCATGCGTGAAGGCTAATTCTTCAGGTAGAGTCTAGAGATGACGACAACAATTGCCTTTTCGTGCGGTTAGCTGTTGGAGGACAACAAGTAAAGGTAGTTGTTTTGCTTTCAGTGTTACTCTCTGCCTAATACTTTTTTGTTACTTTTTTTGAAAATTGGCATCACGAGAGGCAAAGTCAATATGACGCCATCCTACGTAGCCGCTGCTCAAGCTTTATTTTAATAGAAATTCTATCATTTCTTTTGCAGGTGAGCTTGTTTGCGATAGAACAAGTTTCGAAAAAGGAGTACGATCGCGACAGCAAGTGTATAAGTAAGTCATATTGATTGTGTTTGGATTGCAATTGCTTCAAGTGTTCTACTCTCACTGAAATTTCGTTCAGATAAGGATGATTATGACAGAGAACGAGACAAAATCGAAAAACGAAATAAAGAAGCCGTCCACGACAATCGGAAAGGGGATGATCGAAAAGACCGTGAAGAACGCTCCAGGGACAAGTATCGGGAAAAGGATTCTAATCACGATAGGGAAGCTAAAGTAAGTCAATAGACATTAAACTCATGAACTAGAGGCCAACTCTGCAGTCCGTTTCTTTTCACTTTTTTGGAAAGAAAAGTAGATTTGCGAAGTAGATCGAGAATGAAGAACAATCAAAAAGCGTCGAAACCACTAGAAGTAAGGACCATCTTCAAGCTGTGGAGAGTTTAAAGGTACGCTTCGTATGTCGAAGGTACGGCCTAGAACGAAAGTACATCGTTGAGAGAGAGCACAGAAATAGCTTGAGCGAAAATGGTTGTGTTTCCTGGCATTTTCGTGATAAGGCCGTAGCGGGCGTATAGGCATAGAGCGGCACTTCTGCTACCTTCCTTCACAACTGTATCTCATCACTTAAGAAATTTATCCCTTGATTTCGTCGTGGTGCTTACCTCTAGGTTTTCATCATTCAAAAGTTCCTCCTCTGTTTTACTAGCTTTTGTAGGCAACTAAGCGTGTAACCAGTGAAAATTCATGTTTGGTATTTTTCCGTGAAGTGATTTTTCTGCAATTCCATTCTTGTTTTCAGAATGATGAATTATGGGTCCGTACCGATTTGCTGGTTCGGTTTATCGACGAAAATTACAAGAAAGGCAAATATTTCAAAGAAAAGATGCGGGTAGTAGATGTAGCATCACGAAAGGACATTTCGTTAGAAGACTTCTCATGGCAAGATGCATTACGGTAGGTTCTGAGAAAGAAGGTGATCTTATACGTTTGACACGATTCCAATTAAATTTTTTAAGGAATCCGGCAGTCATCTCTGGAGACCGTTTTACCACGGCTAGAAAAATCACGTGTAATGATTGTACGAGGTAAACATAAGGGCCTCGCGGCAACTATGGAAGAGAAGGATAAAAGGCGGTGTTTGGTCGTTGCTCGGTTGTTGAGGTCCAACGAGGTGACTTTTTGTGAATTTTTAAAGGAGGAGCGCGCTCTGGAGTCTCTATTTCATAGAATTAATAGTTTTTTCACAGATGTTACTGTTGATTTTGACGACGTCTGCCAGCACCAATCGAGGGAAGAAGATGACGACGATTTACTGAAATTCGCGCTGTACAAAAAAGAAATGTTTTGGAGTCAGCGAAATTCTCTGACGAACCTCACACTCACCAGGCGTTTGGGAGTCTCCTACTAACCTAGTTCATGAATTGATCTTGATCTGATGTGATGTGTCTACAATAAAATTCTGAAAAATTGCTTTCTCTTGCTCGAAGTCGCGTCGAAAGAGTTCAAGGTGATGAACACTGAAATTGGATGCAATGGGTTGCCTGGAGGAAGAGCATCGTAGTCGGTACCTTTCTTAGACAATTATCCATCATTCATGGCACTGACCCAAGAAGTTTGCTAGACATGCCCAACAGTATGAAATGAAAGTGAGGAGCTATATTGATGGCTTTAGAGATTGCGCATGCATCCGATTCTTCCTTGCATTCGTGGGATTCGAATGTGGCATGAGCTTATACAACGACTTAGAGGAACTTGAGCTTTTGAATATTGTACTCTGGCCATTTCGTAAAACCTCTAATAGCTATGTACGGCTTTGTATAAACTTCGCCATTATAGTTGTGATAATGAAGGAGTTGAGACCTTATACATATAAGTTTGGTCTTCCAGTACTAACTCTCACTTGAAAAGAGGTGGAGGGCAACTCAGGTTTTCACTGAATGGCTATGGCTGCGTCAGAGATCTGACTGGGTCCATCTTGTAGTGCTGATGTCCTGTTTTGATTTCTGAAACCTTCTGTGTGGGATAGCGACGATATAAAATGAGTCATTTGTCAGGCTCTGACGCTCGATCCTACTGAAAGATTGACCGATAACGTATTCCACAACAACCTCGTGTTGAGATCAATAGAAGAAAGAAAGATCTACTGATAGTCAGTCAGGAGCAAAAGATGCTCTGAGAGGTGGGGGTGGGGGGGGAAAGGGTTGAACAACGCTTAGTGTTAGGCCAGGTAGGCGTAGTGAACGTCAAACACGGACTTATTAATAGAAACCGATCGTGGAGGCGTCGGCAGTGCACGACTCCGGTTTGTGTGGGCGGACGGGGGAGGGAGCCATTGGTGTCGCCGGCGATGCGCACTAAAGCCGGAATCAGGTCAAGAGCCCTCACGGATAGCCATGCATGTATAAATATAAGCGGATTGGGAATGGTCATTCAGGAGTACATTTTTCTGTGGACTGTTGCACAGCTCTGCTATCTCTGACAATACGCAGTAGTTTTCAAAATGATTCTTTGCTTGTAAATCTGTGGTAACCAAATTGTTCTCTACTACGCTTGGAGTTCTCTGCTGCTGTGTTGTGAGGTTCAGGCGCTTTTTTGGGCTGTATACTGTAGAATTTCAGGTCGAGGTTCATCTCTAGCTTGAAAATGAGGTGCTAAATGTGTGCAACTTTGTATTACACTTATCTTCATGTCATTCCTTCCACTTTTCAGCTATTTTTTACTCCTGATGCATAAAACACTTAACGCCTCTCTCCGTTTCAGAGATTCAAGAGAGATTAAAAAAATTCTTAAATTCTCTAATTTCAGCATGTTATCCCTAATTCTCGCTCTGGTTCTTCCTGTTCTGGTCAGCTCAAAACTGATTCAGCTCACTGTTCGTGAAAACTTCACACAACCCTGTCCGAATGGTTAGTTTACAGCATATCATCAGTTTATAGCATAGCTTCGCTCCACATCACGCCGTTTTAAGACCACTGAAATAGGAGACCGTTAGGGTTTCAAGGCCTACAGAAACCATTTTTGATGTACATTCCGGATTTGGACACATTTCCGGAAAAAGATGGTTTTATGCGCATAAATGGCCACTTCTACCTGCCAACCGTTCCTTTTCATTCCTGTCACCATTTTCCGTGAAATGCTAACTTTGCAGTCAAATCTGATCTTATCGACCGGTCATCACTGCGATTCAATTTCGATATGATTCCCAATGAAGACGAGGAAGAGGACGAAGGCGATAAGGTTGGTTTCAAGACATTCAGGTTAAGGTTATCGTAGCTGAACCCAGATCGGCTTATTCAATAGAATATTTGCAAATTAGTACGAGC